TTATTATTTTTATTTTATTGATTTAATAAGATTATAAAGGATCGTAGTTGGATGTATAGGCGTCGAACTCCACGAGAAGAAATATATGATGAGTTCTATAATGGAGTTGAACATTTCGTTCAATTTGCATATAATAGCCTTGATCTTGAACTAAATGATTTAATCAAATGTCATTGTCCTAAATGCTTTAATTTATCGTTGATGACTTGGGGAATGGTATGGGATCATCTTACTAAGAATGGTTTTATGAATGCTTATTTTGTTTGGTGGGCGCATGGTGAGACATTTGTGAATTCAGCAAATCCACGGTTTGCTGTTAATCTGGGAGAATCATCACACAGCCAAGATACACACCATGATGAAAGGATTGACTTTCATGAAACGGTGTAAGATGCATTTTTTCCAGAGGATGATGATAATCGGGAAATGGAAGGTAATTTCCCCAATCAACATCTAGATGAGGAACCAAACAATCAAACAAAGGCATGTTATGATTTGCTTCATGCATACAATTCCACTTGGTAGTTCTAAGAGGTATGAGACGGTGCTCAACTGACTCTCTTATATATTGCATACAAAGACTGCAAATAATATAATTGTTAATGGTTTTAGTACCATTTTCAAAGGATGTAAGAGGTTGTTAAGTGCTAAAGATCAAGAAAAAATTCCTGCAAACTTTTATGAAGTAAACAAATTTATGAAATGGTTTAGGTTAGGTTATCTAAAAATTGATACTTGTGTTAACAACTGCTTTTTATACTATGGAGCATATGAAAACATTCACTACATGTCCAATTTGTGGAGAGTATTTCTATGTAGCATTCGCTTATTTAATTGAGATATTTTAAGGTTCTCTAACTAATGGCAAAATTTTGAAATTTTGAGTTTTGGCGAAGGAAAATTTTGGTAGTACAAGTTGGTGCTTTAGAATAATTCTCACGTACAGAGCATGTGCAGAGTTAGAAACTTAGACTCTTAACTCAATAAGGGAAGGGGTTATTGCTCCACTCTATATTGGTAATAGCACACTCTTTTAATGTAATTACCTATTATACACTTAAATTACACTTTTTTTCA